TCCTTCCTCCCTTTTTTGAAGATTGGAACCATGTTGGCCCTTTTCCCGTCCTCCGGCACCTCTCCAGTGCACCACTGTTAAACAGAAACTGTTAAAAAAGTATTATTTACATGGCTTTGTAGGGTTAACATGGGGTTTGTGATGTTTAGAAAGACAATATGGGACCCTGTACATGGTAGCTACATGGGTTCATAATTGATGCGTGTTGGTGCAATCTAAGACATGCAGTTAGTCATGCAGCCTGCAGGGGATTAAGATGGGGTGGGCAAAATATGGCCTGTGGGGGGACTTTGTCTAACCCATAGTGGGTCCCTTGGTCCTGCCTGGCCTAGGTGCCATCTGGCCTGTGGCGCATCCCACTGCTCCCTGGCATACAGCAGGACTAGGGTGGATCCACAGTTGGACTACCTTTCTAGGCAGCCCAGGTGGTAGCTCCTTCTAGCTGGCACCAGCCCCATGGTACTGGGGACCTGTGTGCACAGCCCCGACCCTGGCTCACCTCGCACCCACTCCAGACTTGGCCTGGCGGAACAGACGTGCTCTGGACCAGCCTGAATCTGTGCGCCTAGCCCCAACCCTGGCCCACCCCATGCCTGCTCCAGACTTGCCTGCCCATGCTGAGCAGTGATGGTGGCTGGGCAGAAGCTACTGCTGCTGCACATGGGGGGAAAAGCAGCCCCTCCTCTTTGCTGCTGCCAGGCCTTTCTTGGTGCAGCCACCCAGAGCCTATGCCCAGGCTGCCCTGTGGCTCCTTTGCACTGCTACCGCTGCCCCACTGGGTGGCTTGGAGGCAGCAGTGACAGCAGCAGAGAGGAGTCACAGGGCAGCTGGGGTACAGGGTCTGGATGTCTGCAGCAAGAAGGGCCCAGCAGAGGTGAGGGGGTGGGGCTGTTTTTTCCCTGCGCCAAGCAGCAGGCTGAAGAGTCCCAGGTCCCTCCACCTTAGCTTGTATGGCTTGCTGTGGAAGTCTCTGATCAGTAAGGGTTGCCAGAGTCTGGAATGGGCTTCCAAGGGAGGTGGTGCTCTCCCCACCTTGGGGGTCTTCAAGAGGAGACTGGACAAGCACCTAGCTGGGGTCATTTGACCCCAGCGCTCTTTCCTGCCCAGGGCAGGGGGTCAGTCTGACCTACTGAGATCTCTTCCAACCTTTACATCTATGAATTATATGAGTGGCCCTTCTTTGGACTCTCTCAAGTTTTACCATGTCCTTGAAGTGCGGCATCCCTTCCTGGACACAGTACTCTAGCTGTAGTCTCACCAATGTCGAGTAGAGTGGAAGAATCACTTCCCGAGTTTTGCTGGAGTCGCATTGATTGATGTATGCCAGGGTATTATTTGCCCGGTTGGCTACAGCATTGCGCTGCCAGCTCATACTCCTACTGTGGTTTATTATTATCCCCCAGGTCTGTTTCATTTGTGGTGCTGGTTAGTTTGGCATTGCTAAGCCTGTAGGTGTGTAGGGGGTTGTTCGTCCTCAGATGAAGCACCTTAAATTTCTTGACGTTCAACTTAATTTGATTCTGATCCACCCAACTTGCTAGCCTGCCTAGGTCCACCTGTATTTGC